TATATATATATATATATATATATATATATATATATATATATATAATATATATATATATATATATATATATATATATATATATATATATATATATATATATATATATATATATATCGGTTCGCAAAGTCGATAAATCAAACACGTCGACTGGATATTGTATATCGTATTAATATTTGAAATAACAAACAAAACAATTCGATCTAAAATGAAATTAAACTATGTAAAAGACTAATATTTAACATGCAATGATACCTATAAACGCGCATATGATGACAATTGATATTTCACATGATAATATTACTTACTTCTGTGGCAATATCCAGTACTTTACACCGTTTTATATATATATATATATATATATATATATATATATATATATATATATATATATATATATATATATATATATATATATATATATATATATATACACATCATGGAGTTTCAACTGCCATAATCACGTTTCTGATTTGTAAAGAAATAGGGAGGTCTTCATGCGGTTCTCCCCCAGAGGATTTTGATATTTATGAAGCTCAATGACTGCATTTCTGGCACAAAAGAATTCAGCCAAAAATGCCCAAAATAACTGTTGTCGTACGCAAAATTTGAGCTATATAGAGGCTTATATATTGTTATCGCTTTACAGTTATTTTAATTTCGCCCTCCATCTCGGCCAAATTTTTTTTCAGACGCACGTTAACAGGTTGTTATCCGGAAAATTTTTTTCCGGGAAAATTTTTTTAGATAGGGGCCCCTAAAAAAAATTTGCCCCGGGCCCCCGCCAACCTCTGGGCGGCCCTGTGAGCCCCTCTTTGATGTAAACAGCACGTGAAAGTTCTCCATTTGTCTTTCAAAAACGTTAGCATGTTCCTCTTAGCTTGTTTGGGATAATTAAGTACTTTTTATATTAGCATGACGTCTGCACTGGTAATTTATTCAAAGCGCAAGTGTAATTTAAAACCAGAATCGCAGTTAGTACAGCATTTGAGTTGCTGCAGTCTGCAGAGACAGAGAAAACGTTTAAGATAGCTCGAACGGAGGAGATCCATCCTTCAGGTACTGTAATAACATTTGTCTTGATTGCGCGAAGCGGATTGTTAGTTTATTTGGTTTTCAACGATTTATTTGATATAATATAACCTATACTGCTGTAAAAATATGATCGGAATGTGCAACACTGCAACATAATCTTTGTAAATTTGTGAATTTTCAGAATTATCATTTCCGGGCATGCGTCTAAACCACCTCTAATACACTTTTATACAAAATAATCAAACAAAACCCCATAAATAATAATTATATACCCATAAAAACAATCAACATTATTTCTCACTCTGATAATTGCCCATTTGACAGGAACCAATACCAGGAAACACAATATAAATATGTAATGCGATTCCGTGATTAGTATATAGAATACTCTTTCCATCTGCACCTACGTTTTGTAGGTAATTTATGATATTATAATATACGATATAAACACGGTTTACCCATGATAAAATCGGCAAGACACACCTATGAATTGCTACAAATAGAGAAATAGTGAAAAGGAAGCACGGAATAAGCGGTCAAGCCTTTGTATATAAACATGCAGGAAATGAAATAAACTTCTATTTTTAATATGTACAAGTCGTAAGCAATGTCTGCGAATTTGTTCAAATCACTTCGAATTCGGGAATTATCATAATACAGTACGCTATAATGCGGTCGTATTGACAGAAAGAAAAATATCTATGATCAATATAATTATGCATGCATGATTAGTCACTGAGCTAGAAGTTTCGAATTGAAGGCTGAAATTTATGCACAAGTCATGTACATGTTTTTTAACCAGCTTGTCTTTGTATTTAGAAATCAGAGTTTGAACTTACTTCTCAAACGAACCCGTATTTTAAGAGGAAATCGAGATTAAAGTTGGCGAAATTTGACTGTAATTTTTTCAGGGTCAGAATTTATTTGAATATTTATCATTGCCCCAGAGCAACAATCTTTTTTAAACCCTGTTATCGCGCCCTGATAAAGGTACATGTATGTAATAAATATAGGTTATCATAATCGGGGCGCGGCGATATCAGTTTTATCCCTTTCAGGGCGATATCATATCCTTCGTTCGCTGTGCTCACTCGTGACATTTATGCATGATATCGTCCCTCAAGCGCTAAAACTGATATCGGTTCGACCCTCAATTGATAACCTATATTTACCTCTTTGTTGTAAACAATTAAGATGTTAATGGAAAATATTTTTCGACACATATAGAATAATTAGTTACAACAGACCAGTGACTAAGCGAACACGTTTCTCACATCCCACCACACATGCAAGCATGGCAACTGCGTTGCCCCAAAAGAATATCGATGAAATTAAAAACGTAGTGGAAATGATAGAAGTATTCAAACTACTTCACATCGATATAGACGAAGACAATTTAAACCTTAAAGAAATGAAGAAGAAAGCAAAGGAGAAGATACAAGAGCAAAGTTCGAATGGAACAACGGTAAGCGTTCTTCAAACATTCAATATTCGTTAGGCAAATTATCTAAAAACGTGTGCCTGTTTGATCACATGCATGACAGGCCTTTTACACCTGATTAATGATCCAAACCCGTTTTATGTGAAGAAGAACTTGCTTGACTGCTGCAAAGTCTTGCTTGACTACTTGCTTGACTACATACCAAAGGCCAAGACCACAAGATTCCATTTTTTTCCAGGTCTGAACAAAACTCTCTTGCATTTAAGACATATTTTATTGTTTTGTGAAGGGATTCTCTCTCATATCAAAAGCCAAGGAGGACGATAAGTTGAAAAGGGATAAATTGGAAGATATTTATTCCGAGGTTAATGATTGTCTGAAAGATATGGGCCATGATGTGGTTTCCACTTTAAACCCCTACTTTAACAATCGTGATATTTTGGAAGTTCTTGGTGAACAAAGAGATCGATTCAAGAAAAGAGAATATAACCTGCTTGTTGCAGGTAAGTGCCATTACTGTGCTACTAAAACCCAATTGCATGTATATATACTATATTATTTTTGAAACCATAAAAATATGTTCACACTTCTTGTTCTAGGTGAGAGTAGTGCGGGGAAAAGCAGTTTAATAAATCTTATTCTTGGCAAAGACCTCCTGCCGAACCATCTCCTTAATACCACCTCGACAATATGTGAACTGAAGTACGGGGAAGAAAGACAACTCGTCGTTCACTATAAATACGATATAGACCAACAAGTAAAACTCCCACCAAGACGTCACCCCCTGAAAACTGAGGAGGAATCCGGGAAAAGTTATCAAGAGCAAATTGGCCCTTTTGTACACTTGGACCGGATGGAAGGAAAGGGATCCAAATGTGAAAAAGTAGAAATCTTTTGGCCACATGAATTACTCGAGGTACACCAGCCGTCTTCTTAAAATGTTCATATACGTATGGGAAATTAGAGATTTAGGGTGTATGTTGCTCAAATTAAAGTACCTTTTTGAGATAGAAAATTCATGGTTTCATCAATCATACAAGAAAAATAAAACACTTTTACAGAGAGTACATTTTAGCATGTACTCGGGAGGTGGATACTGCTATTCGCGCAATTTGGTTGCTCACCTCCGGACATCCTTGCTCATATCCTTGGATGTCCTTCATATCCTTGGGTGTCCTTGGATGCAATTTGAAAAACTCACTCGTGTATGTTTTATCCAAATTGCACTCGTAACCATGCTATTACCTATACTAATATAATTTCATTTTAGAAAGGTGTCGTTATCATTGATAGTCCTGGTCTTGGGGAATCTGATCACATGGATCAAGTTTTGATGAATTATCTTCCAAATGCTTTTGCATTTATTTATGTCATTGACATTTCCCATGCTGGTGGACTGCAACAAGATCTGAAAGAAAAGGTAAGTATACCGAAATATAATTGAAGAAACACTACATATATATAAGCTTCTCAAATATATACATCACTAATCACATGTGGTGAATTATCTTATCAAGGTTTTCATTGGCTAATAAAAATTGCGGCTCTCAGTGTAAAATCCTTGCTGCGCGCTTAACATTCGTCCACTTTTTATTGACTGAAGTTTGACCCTAAAACAACCCTGAATCCTAACCATCTGGGTGAAGTCTTATGTTATTAAACAAAAGGTCTGTAGTGATGGTTGAGGTTGTTTTAGGATCAGGTTTGCATATTTGGTGTCCATATATAGGACATGAAATTATTACCATGATTCTTTCTGATATAGTTATTGAAAATCTTGGAAAAAGTTCAATCCCTTGAAGGTGGTACTCTAAATTGCAAAAATCTAGCTGAGTGTTCACTTTTCGTCTGCAATAAATGGGATCAAGTGAAAGAAGCTGAACAAGACAGGGTGAAGAGATATATCCTCAAAACACTGAGTGAATGGTGGCAAGACGCAAATCTGAATAATAAAATTGTGTATATGTCTGTACTTGACGCCATTAAAGCACAACAATATGGTACTACCACCCCAGATTTCAATGATTTACTTGAAAGTATACAGCAGATGATCCTGAGAGCAATAAATATCAGGCTGTATAACCATTGGAAGTAAGATATTTTGGGTGTTATCATCTTTTATTTCTAATAACTTTTAGAAACTTCTTGAACACCATTGTTAGAAAAATATGTCGACAAGCTCGCTACACCCATTTGCTATGATGAGCAGCCGATTTGTATATCTGATTTACAAATTACAAGGCAAACTCAAGTAAATAAGATATAGATGGCATGCGCGAATGCTCCACCATATTTAAAAATAAAACACATGCATGGATTTATTAATCAAGGTTGGCAACTATATTGTTCATTTATATAGCCGGAAAAAATCGAAAGCCTTATACGCACGTTAGGACAAGTTTTTTTCCCGACTTATACGGATATTGATTAAATAGTCATTTGTTTTGAAGTTTCTTTATAAATAATTAAGAACATTTTAGAGATAATTGTAAATTTCATGAATAATTAATCTGGCTAAAAAGAAATCACAATGCAGTATTTAGGTCACATGTGCAATGGATGTCGTGTTAAATGGATGTTTATGAAACCTACCAAGTTATGAATACTATAATTCAGAAGCAGGACGATTTATTAGAATCAAAACGCATACATCACTAGATTTACGTTGTAAATACATGCTAATGAAGCGTGAGATTGTCCCCATGGGCAGTGAATACTAATAAAGTAAACAAACAAATTAATCTCACAAGTTCGCCAAAATATTCCCAACTGATCTTTATGGGCATTTAACAATGGCTCACGCTGTGCGCTCGCCACTGTAAATGCCCATAAAGATCGGCCACTCATATATTTTAATTATAGCATAAAATTTTAATTACTATAGGTGGTTGGATTTCGTGTTGCTTAAAATTTTCGAGTTAACCTGTTTCTACAACCGCGAGATACAGTCAACTCGTCAAAAAACTCGTGAAAGAATGGATTCTATCGAAATTCATATTGCATATATTGAAAAGAAAGAGCAAGAAGTAAGGGAAGAAATGGAAGCAAGGTTGAAAGATCAAACCAACATCTTCTCTTCCAAGCTGAATGAATATATCCATTCGCCAGAATTCAAAACGAAGTTTTGCAAGTGGACCGAGGACTGTCTACCTTCAAAGAGGGATACATGGATAGAAATGAAAAACCACATTATGAAATCAATTGAAAACAGATTTAAAGGATTGCTTATTGAATGGGAAAGCGAAAATCGAATTTGCGCAGAAATTCACAAGTGGTTTGTAGAAGAATTTCTTGAAAGGTTTGACTTATATAATATACGTTGATGTATATTGGCGTTGATATAATGAACTAAATAACATATCGTAAAATTGAAGGTTTTATATTAATGTCATTAACATAGGTTGAATCTTTTGGAAGACGAGCTTGAAGGTGTTGTGAAAACGACGCATCGTGCAGAAAAAGTTGATTATTCGAATATCAAACGTCCGTTGCCCATGCCAGCGAAAATTCTCTTTGGAGCAGCAATCCCTATCTGGTTTCCTGTTTGTGTAGCGGGCCTAATAATTGGCATGCCTGTTTTAGGAGCAATAGTCGCGAGCAATAAAATTTCTAAAACAATAAAGCTCAGTAACTATCGAAATGATTCGTGTGCTTACTTCGTAAAACGGTCCGAAAAGTTCCTTGCCTCTCTAAAGGAGGACGATGTTTATGGATATGCTGAATGGCAGATGGAGAAAACAACAGAAGTATTGACGAATTACACAAATTCAATTCCCACACTAATTGCGACTAAACGAAAAATGGTGTCGAAGTTGCGCAGTGAAACACGAAGCCAAAACGAAGTAATACAACAGTATACTCCAATTCAGCAGAAAAGTTTGGAGGTACGAAAGAATATGATACCCTTAGGAATCAAGCTTTGTTCAACAACAGTGGATGCACGTGATCTTGATTGGAAAGAAGACATGGATTTATGCATTGGAGAAGGAGAGTTTTCCCGCGTGTACCGTGGAAAGCTGAACAATGGTGGAAGAATAAAAACGCTGGATCCGAATCTTCCTTTAGATGTGGTGGTGAAAGTATTCAAGCAGCCGTTCGATTATCCAAATTTAAGATTATATCTCAATGAGGAAATGGAGATCAGGTAGGCATTGTAAATCAAAGACTTGCTTGACAATGATAAACGGTATAAATTGATCTAAATATTGTCAAACAAAGTCGATGATACAGCGTATTTCCTCTATTTAGCCGCCAACCCCCCTCCCAACAAGTCCCGAGGTGTTAATAAAAAATAAGCATTCACTCTGCATTTGTCCTCATTTTCAATTACTCAAATACCAGAAATATTCATTTCACAAAATTAAACCATTTCTTTATAATTATATCTATCAATTATATCTAACTTCCAGGATACGACTGCGTACAGGTTTTTTTATTTTTATGGCTTATCGGGTGATGCAAGTCATTGGATAAAAAAAAACCTGCAACTGATCCGAGCACTATTGTACTATTACACTTATTTTTTTGCTGTAGGCATTTGGATCACAAGAATGTTGTCAAGTTTTTCGGGGCACTGAAAGTGAATATTTCCCGCCAGTCCAAAGATCACAAATTTGTGTTTGTGAGGACATTCTGCCAGGAAAATCTGAGGAGTGTTATTTTCAACGATAAAAGCGTACCACCTGCACAAGCTTCCAACAGCAATCAAGCAATTGACGCGTTTCTCAAATGGGCGATACAGATTGCGGATGGGTTAAACTACATCCATGAGCGGGGCCTCATTCACAGGCATCTCAAGCTGGAAAATATTTTGGTTTGTATCAACTTAACCTCTTCCCTAAACTTTTATTCCTTAGTCACAGAGCCCTGGCCATTGTCAGACTTGTCAATATCCAGTCTCTAAACGAGAACAAGATTGCCTCATATGTACAAATACATTGTCTTATTTGCTTTTCAAGTTTCGTGTTCAAAACGAATGGCTTTAATTTCCAATATTATTTGAAATGAAGAACAGTAAACCCCAAAATTTAAACGCTTTGTAGAGGGATATAGTTTAGAGGGAACTCCATTTCAGAATCCTGGCTAAAAGCCTTATAAGGGCTCGTTTTTAGATGAAAAAATTTACTAAGGCGTCTCTTTGTTAATAATCCACTCAGATGTTGATTAGACCGAGTTTTTCCTCACTATTTTTTGTTAAACATACATTGTGTCGTGCTTCAACGAAATGAAAATGCAATTTTACGTGTAAACAAATAAACGTCCTTCCCTCTCCTTTAAGCCCCTCCCCCAAAGGTGCTTGAAAATAACGAACCCCTTCCCAGAGGTTTAATTGAAAGACTATATGGTATGAATTAAAACCAACGAGATGGAGTCTTCTAAAATGTAAAACTTTAATGCTCTCCCCTAGATGAATAAAGATGGTAGAGCAATGATAACAGATATTGGGATTCTCGGTCAATTTAAGGAAACAGAGAAAAGCATTATTTATCTTGCGCCTGAAGTGCTTGCAAACCTGGAGACACGCAGAAAGGAAGCAGATATTTACAGTTACGGCATTATGTTGTGGGAGATGTGGTATGGCATCCAGGCGTTCACAGAACTCATGCCACTCAACAAAACCACATTTCAAGAAAAGATTGCTGCCGGGTATCGTCCCATCAAGTCTGTCACGACGATCGTTTTACCAGGAATTCACGCCATCATGAAAGGCTGCTGGCAGTCCCTTGCATTTGAAAGACCTCGAGCCAAAGAGTGCTACGACGCTTTTCAGGACATTTTGAACAGCCGTGATGTAACAGAAGACACATCTGACGAGTCTTCTATATAGATTAGATCTACATTAGATCAATATAGACGAAGGTGAAAATATAAACACTAATGAGACTGCAATTCATTGAACCGAACATTAATTAAGAACGCAATTAGTTAGGGCCAAATTAAGGCCTGCAGTATATAACTAACGTATAAATAAATTAAACACAGCCAGTATAATGCATATGTAGAATTAAGGAACCATGAGACAGCCTGGTTTGGCGACGGTTCAATATTGATTATTGAAACAAATTTGTTGTTACCACATTTCAAAATTCCATGGTAAAAATGAAAAAAAATTTAAAAATCCACCCCTGACCATGGTCAATCTGAAGCACCTGTGTAGAAACTAGAAAGACCTTTCTCAGTAGAATTACTGTGCAGTGTGCACACTTCACAATTATAATATTATTCAACATGAACCCTATAGGTAGTACATTATATGTATGTACTGTACTGCACTGTATTGTACTGATACAAATAAATATGTATGCGACGCAACTGTTTTTTAATAAGTTTGTAAATGCTTATTATCTCTATACGAGTGTGGGCGTGACTTTAATTAGTTCCCTGACAAATTTATAAAGTAGTATTAGTTTTTGCAACATTAACACCTACAGAATAAGTAATACTTTCCAGTTTAAAAAGCATGAAATATCCGTTAAATGGGTCCTTTGTTCAAAAATGTTTCCAAAATGGGTTGCTTCTTTCCAGATTAAACAAGCCACTGTAAACAATTATTTGTAGAACCATTGATAATAAAATAAATTTATTTTATTATCCATGGTAGAACTTACAATGACTTTAAAAAAAGTTAAAATATTTGATAGTTTGTTAAGTATACAACAAAAGTTTTACATTGTATGTCCATTGCCGCTCCAGTGGTTGGTTTGTAGGTTGAAACCAAAGTTCTGGACATACATGTAGGTTTTCCTTTTCTCACCAACTTAAGGGTGAGTAAAAAGTAAATGTCTATATAGTGTTGATACAAACATGCACTCGTTACTGTATGTGAAGGAGCAATTAGTTCCTTTTTTCTGACGCTAATTTTCGCGCTGTTCACTTTCATCGCCAGTAAGAGGTGATTGTTTCATCATCTTTAATGCGGACATCAAGTAAATGTAGAAATGTACCAACTTTGTCTAATGACATTTTAGACAAAAATAAAGCACTTTAGTTGAATTTATAGGATATGGGGAAAATCAGCAAAGCTTAAAGAATGAATTCCGATTTATATTCTTCATGATTCTCTTTTAGATTTCAGTCATAGTTTTGGCGAAAATTGACTGGATCAAGTTAAGGTTACAGGACACCCTTTTGGCGTTTTGTGGAAAATCGCTACTGCGCGCTCAAAATCAGTCCGATTTTCATGGCATTTTCACCAAATGTTAGCCAGTGCATGCAAAATATGATAAAATTGTAAAATTGACAAACAATAAAATAATGTAAGAATTATTCGGGAAAATCTTAAGTCGCGGTACCTTTACGCTTTTGAGTTATGTTCCTGCTGGTTTTACGATATATTGTAAGTTGTGAGTTGGGCAAACTTGTGAGTTGGACAAAGTAAAAGAGGTAATAGATTATAACTTTGCTCTCAAACTGCAGATTGGCTCAAGATTGTTTTGTATTCAATTAATGGCACTGCTCTGTTTAATTGACTGTATCAAGTCGAGTGCTATCAGTGGGCGGGTGGAACAGAACTTTGAAAATCTGAAATCTAAAAGAGTAAAAGAAATACAAATCTGACGACGTTTTTCTAACCATTCCACACAATTGACTCCAGGGTCTAGAAGTGCTTACGTCACGCAGTTTTCATCATTAGGTACACGCAATGCAATGTGGGATACATGTGGGTCAAATGTTTATCAGTGACGTGACGTAAGAACTTCTAAGGTCAATTGTCATAATTATTTTCTTAAGAGATTGAAAATCTTTTTAACTCAACAAAAACCCTAACCTCACCATTAAGGGCGTCTAAGCTCGGGAGTTTCACCATCATGTTTCACCGCATCTTCCTTGTGACAAGAAAAAGTTATACTGAACATCAACTGGTCTGAATACAGATCAACAGTTCTGAATATAAAGAGTTTTTTCCTCGACTGACTTTATTATGGGTATTGAAAAGTCACTATATTGTTTCTTTTGCGTTTAAGAATAAACATTTTGTGTTTTCTTGGATATTTATATATATGAAACACTAAGAATGGTTCTCGCACATGTAGTGTATCGTATCGCCAGGGTGAAAAGTTAGGATTTTTCGTGTGACGAAGATTTAATTACGCCAAAGAACTTATTCTGCGTTGTATACTATTGTATTCTATTAAGATCGGCTCTGATGTATGCCAATTGCCGGCAAAATGAGCTGGGGTGGTAACGTGATGTTAGCATATAGGAGCATGTTATATATAGGGGCATGTTACATATATAGGGGCATGTTACATATAGGGGCATGTTACATATATAGGGGCATGTTACATATATAGGAGCATGTTACATATAGGGGCATGTTACATATAGGCCCGGGCATGTTACATATAGGGGTATGTTACATATAGGGGTATGTTACATTTAACAAATATAAAACATTTTCCGTGTTGATATACAGTTATATCAACACGAGTGGGAATTGGGAAAACGAGAAATTGTGTGGAAACACGACGCCCGAAGGGCGGAGTGTTTTCACACAATTTCGAGTTTTCCCAACTTCCACGAGTGTTGATATAACGATATATCAATACGGAAAAAATGTTTTATATTTGTTTTATAATATAGCAATGTCAAAAGCCCGAAGAATAAGAAAAATTTCCGTGTTTACAAGCGGCGGAAAATTTCCCGTGTTGACATGGAGTTATATCAACACGGCTCTTAGCCAATCAGCGTTCAGAATTTACAAATGCTATATTATAAATTGGTATATGTTACATATAGGAACATGTTACATATAGGGGTATGTTACATATAGGGGTATGTTACATATTGGTGTATGTTACATATAGGGACATGTTACATATAGGGGTATGTTACATATAGGGGTATGTTACATATTGGTGTATGTTACATATAGGGGCATGTTACATATAGGAGCATGTTACATATAGGGGCAAACATAATGACGCAATGTTTAATGACAGAGAAAGTAACGTAATATCTTACCTTACGTTACATATAGGGGCGTGCGTAAAAACCGTATGAGCACCTTATGTTACAAATAGGGGCAGGGACGAAAACCTTACGTTGTAACTATAACTTCCAAGCCAGTCCCTATTTGTAACATAAGGTTTTCACACGAAAACCTTACGTTGTAACTATTACTTTCAAGCCAGACCCTATTTGTAACATAAGGTTTTCACGCCTGCCCCTTTGTTTAACATAAGATGTTCACACCTAAATCAGTGTAAGATTAGGTTTTCACGCCGTTAGCATGTTCCTCCAATACACTTTTATACAAAATAATCAAACAAAACCCTATAATAATTATATATCCATAAAAACAATCAACATTATTTTCTCACTCTGGTATATAATTGGCCGATGAAACTTATAAACACAATACTGTAGACTATTTTTGGTTTTGCAAGCTAGGAATTTTTTAAAACAGCAGGACACAAAAAATGACACTGTCCTTTTATTGTTCGTATCTCTAATACTTAGAAATTGGAATTATTGGATTGTGTTTCTTTGTATTGATAACTTTTTCCTGTCGTGATTCGTGATGAGCTTCGACAGTTGACAGTCCTCGAATTTCAGATTGGAATTTTCAGTCAGGTATGTATTGCAACTATCAGAGTGTTTAATTCCGGCATAACAAAAACTGTGGAATTCTTGCAACTTTCGATACATTAAAACTCCTTTGGCGTAATAATACGCTTCCGTGATTAGTATGTAGAATACTCTTCCATCCATATTTAAAACGAAAATCTGCACCTACGTTTTGTAGGTAATTTATGATATCATAATATACGATATAAACACGGTTTTTCCATGATAAAATCGGCAAGACACACCTATGAATTGCTACAAATTGAGAAATAGTGAAAAGGAAACACAGAATAAGCGGTCAAGCCTTTGTATATAAACATGCAGGAAATGAAATAAACTTCTATTTTATGTACAAGTCGTAAGTAATGTCTGCGAATTTGTTCAAATTACTTCGAATTCGGGAATCTTCATAATACAGTACGCTATAATGTGGATTGTATTGACAGAAAGAAAAATATCTATGATCAATATAATATGCATGCATGATTTTAAAATTAGTCGCTGAGCTAGAAGTTTCGAAATGAAGGCTGAAATTTGTGCACAGGTACAGGAGGGTAAAATTAGTATTGAATGCTTGCATGCATGTACAGGCTATTGTTTCAAACTATGTCCACGTTTAAAATCTTCCTGGAGGAATTAACCAGAGTGGTAGTCAGAAGATTAACAAGTTCGGCAATTTAATGAAATTGGGAATCTCAGGAATTTCAAGCGTACCGTACCGAAACGTATCAAAAACTAATTTAAATTTCAAAATTTAGTGAATGTTAATTGGTTAGTACTTCCGTAGTACGCCAAAAAGTTGACTTGCGACAAACTTTTCACTTTTTATACGCATGCATTTACACCATCAGGAAGTCTTTGAAAAGCCCCTATGGGCAAAGATTAATAAAACTGTATGTATATGAAGTACGTGCATGGATCTATCAACCTCTTTCTAATCATCACCTCCGCGATGTCATATATATGTAATAGTTCAAATACGAGTAAGTGTTCTTCCTCTGATTTCCAAATACAGACAAGTCGGTTGAAAATACGAGGCGAAGCCGAGTTTTTTAACCAGCTTGTCTTTGTATTTAGAAATCAGAGTTTGAACTTACTTCTCAAACGAACCCGTATTTTAAGAGGAAATGGAGATTAAAGTTGGCGAAAATCGGCTGCAATTTTTGCTCCGATTTCTAAGTACTGATTAAATATTTCTTTCTTTTGAATTTTCTCATGAATTATTAATAAGTTTGAGAATTTCATGGAAAATATATCGACGATAAATAGTCATTAAGTCAATATAACGATGATAAAGGGTCAGAATTTATTTGAATATTTATCATTGCAACAATCTTTTTTTAAATAGCTGCATGCATGGACAAAAGCAATATCAGTGACATATCGCGTATGTCACCTTGTTATCGCCCTGATAAAGGCACATGTATGTGATAAATATAGGTTATCATAAACGGGGCGCGGCGATATCAGTTCTATCCCTTTCAGAACGATATAATGTCCTTCCTTCGCTGTGCTTACTCATTTATGCATGATATCGTCCCTCAAGGGCTAAAACTGATATTGCCTCGCCCCTCATATAATAACCTATATTTACCTGATGCTTGTGATGTTACTCTGAGTGTGTATCCACACCGAGTAAGCTTGAAAAATATGCCTGGCCACGGTGGGAATCGAACCTACGACCTTTGGAATACTAGCCCAATGCTCTGCAAACTGAGCTACGCGGTCAGGTCGGTTCGAGTATGTCTGTATGTGATATTTCAGAACCGAGTCTAGTTCCTTCGATACAAATGTAATCTACCTCGTTGATATCAATGTAATTTACCTCTTTGTTGTAAACAATTAAGATGTTAACGGGAAATATTTTTCAACACATAGAAGTTACAACAGACCAGTGACTAAGCGAACAAGTTTCTCACATCCCACAACACATGCAAGCATGGCAACTGCGGTGCCCCAAAAGAACATCGATGAAATTAAAAGCGTGAAGGAAATGATAAAACTATTCGAACTACTTCACATCGATTGCGACGAAGAAAATTTAAACCTTAAAGAAATGAAGAAGAAAGCAAAGGAGAAGATGAAAGTTCAAAGTTCGAATGGAACAACGGTAAGCGTACTTCAAACATTCAATATTCGGCAAATTATCTAAAAACTTGTGCCTGTTTGATCATGTGCATGGCAGGCCTTTTATATCTGATTAATGATCCAAGCCCGTTTTATGTGAAGAAGAACTTGCCTGAATACTGCAAAGTCTTGCTTGACTACTTGCTTATAAGTTGACTACTTGCTTGACTATATACCAAAAGCCAAGACCACAAGATTCCATTTTTTTCCAGGTCTGAATAAAACTCTCTTGCATTTAAGACATATTTTATTGTTTTTTTTGAAGGGATTCTCTCTCATATCAAAAGCCAAGGAGGACGATAAATTGAAAAGGGATAAATTGGAAGATATTTATTCCGAGGTTAATGATTGTCTGAAAGATATGGGCCATGATGTGGTTTCCACTTTAAACCCCGACTTTAACAATCGTGATATTTTGGAAGTTCTTGGTGAACAAAGAGATCGATTAAAGAAAAGAGACTATAACTTGCTTGTTGCAGGTAAGTGCAATTACTGTGCTACTAAAACCCAATTGCATGTATATTATATTATATTATTTTTGAAACCATAAAAATACCGTTTACATTTGTTCTAGGCGAGAGTAGTGCGGGAAAAAGCAGTTTAATAAATCTTATTCTTGGCAAAGACCTCCTGCCGAACCATCTCCTGAATACCACCTCGACAATATGTGAACTGAAGTACGGGGAAGAAAGACAACTTGTCGTTCACTATGAATACGATATAGACCAACAAGCAAAACTCCCACCTAAACATCTTCCCCTGAAAACCAAGGAAGAATCCGGGAAAAGTTATCAAGAGCAAATTGCGCCTTTTGTGCACTTGAACAGGATGTAGGGAGGAAAGGGATCCAATTGCGATAAAGTAGAAATCTTTTGGCCACATGAATTACTCGAGGTACACTAGCCGTCTTCTTAAAATGTTCATATACGTAAAGGAAATTAGAGATTTAGGGTGTAGGTTGCTCAATTTAAAGTAACTTTTTGAGATAGAAAATTCATGGTTTCATCAATCGTACAATCACACAAGAAAAATAAAACACTTTTACATGCAAAGAGTACATTTTAGCATATACTCGGGAGGTGGATACTACTATTCGCGCAATTTGATTGGTTGCTTACCTCTGGATATCCTTGCTCATTGGGTGTCCTTCAGACTCGTGCTATTTTCATGCAATTTGCAAAACTCACTCGTGCATGTTTTTTATCCAAATTGTACTTGAAACCATCCTATTACCTATACTAATATAATTTCATTCTAGAAAGGTGTTGTTATCATTGATAGTCCTGGTCTTGGGGAATCTGGTCACATGGATGAAGTTTTGATGAATTATATTCCAAATGCTTTTGCATTTATTTATGTCATTGACATTTCCCATGCTGGTGGACTGCAACAAGATCTGAAAGAAAAGGTAAGTATACCGAAATATAATTGAAGAAACACTACATATAAGTTTCTCAAATATATACATCACTAATCACATGTGGTGAACTATCTTATCAGCGTTTTCATTGGCTAATAAAAATTGCGGTCCTCAGAGTAAAATCCTTGTTGCGCGATCAACATTCGTCCGACTTTTTATTGACGAAAGTTTGACACCAAAACAACCCTGAATCCCAACCATCATGGTGAAATCTTATATTATTAAACATTGGGGTTGTTTTAAGATCAGGTTTGCATATTTGGTGTCCATATAGGACATGAAATTATTAACCATGATTCTTTCTGATATATATAGTTAATGAAAATCTTGGAAAAAGTTCAATCGCTTGAAGGTGGTACTCAAAATTGCAAGAATCTGGCTGAATGTTCACTTTTCGTTTGCAATAAATGGGATCAAGTGGAAGAACATGAACAAGACAGGGTGAAGAGATATGTCCTCAAATCACTGAGTGAATGCTGGCAAGACGCAAATCTGAATAATCAAATTGTGTATATGTCTGTACTTGAAGCCATTAAAGCACAACAATATGGTACTACCACCCCAGATTTCAATGCTTTACTTGAAAGTATACAGCAGATGATCCTGAGAGCAATAAATACCAGGCTGTATAACCATTGGAAGTAAGATATTTTGGGTGTTATCGTTTTTTATTTCTAAAAACTTTTAGAAACTTCTTGAACACCATTGTTAGGAAAATATGTCGACAAGCTCGCTACACCCATTTGCTGTGCGAGCAGCCGATTTGTTTATCTGATTTACAAATTACAAGGCAAGCTCAAGTAATAAAATAAGATATAGATGGCATGTGTGAATGCTCCACCATATTAAAAAAATAGGTACGCTAGGCGTACATGTATCTGCGCAAAATGTTGACTGTATCCAGCCACCATGCAGCTGTTATGCAGTTGCCATGTTCCCTAGCCAGTGGGCTAATGAGAGGCGTTCACCCCCCCCCCCCTTGAACGCCTGTCATTTTTTTTCTGGAGGATGACTATCTTTCCTCAGTGCACTGGCTAGGAACATGGCGGCAGTTGCAATTGCGCCAACATCAAAGGTTCGGACAAGGAGTCGGATTTTGATCTGTACATGTACTCTGCGGCATCATGTTCGATTCCTCTGCCTGCCTCTTCTCCCTACACCTTTTAAAAAATTAGTTTGTAAGACAGAGATCATAAAAAGGATAAATTGAACAAAAATAATGAATTTGAACTCATGAATGAGGTAGCCCCAGCTAAATCTTGAAAAGAAGTACCTCTCCTAAAAGCATGCTACCTGTAGTAGTTAAAACAGTTAATAACTGTAGAGTATCATTAATCATATACGCAATGACTAAGTTATCGGTAAATTTCATCAGTGGTAAATTTACAACTGACAATCAATACAATTTCCATGAGTTGCAATAATTATGTCTGGCAAATGTGATCGACTATTGCTGTTTTGGCAAATATTGTTTGAATAAAAAAATTAAGCTGGTTGCCAAATGATAAGTACTAGATAAAACATTCGCATCCAATCTGTATCGGCAAAGACCACTAGACTTCACTTAGTTTACACATGTCTATGACGCTACGCCGGCTATTAGCACTCCGGTAAAAATTTACTACGTTTCTGGTATTGAGACTAGATTGTGTTTACACTATATTCTATAACAGAGTGGTTTGCCGTAGCGTATTAACTGCGGACCACTACATTTGCCACTCTGGATGCAAATCACTACGCTACGGTAAATTTGCCGTATAGCGTCATAGTGTAAACGCGGCCTTGGCTTAGTATCAGTTTTCACATGCGAAATTTATCTTTGTATTTCCACGTTTTACTTTGCAACATAACAGTATTTCTTCGACTATAATGAATATAAACTTTGTGGCCGATTACCACAGTATGTTTTAAATGTTTCTGATACTAGTGTATTAAAAGTCGTTGTGTGATTGTGTGAACATTTTTGATGTCGAGTGTTGTTTTTAAAAACCTTTGTTTAATGCAGACATTAGCATCAATGATAAGACTTGGCATCACGAAAATCTAAATGTTTTGCTATAATTTTTAATATTTGCCACTGATGTCCATGATACTATGGATTTCGAACTAGCGTTTCAGCCCTTTAATTTACGTATATTCACTCCATCAAAGGCGGCAATTTTGAATTTATTGAATATGATCAGTATATCCATCCAGTTACATTTTTTTACGGTTTTGCAAAATATAGAGATCAAAATGACACACGTGATGCTGATCGCTGTCGCTGATTGGCTCCGGGCTAACACACGGTCTAGACGATGGCAATGTATCTGCGCTAACGCAGATACAAAAACTAAAACTGTCTGTACCAGTGTTGGTAGTACCATTGTACCAATGTGAAAATGCTGTGCTGAGTGGTTATATTACTACCTTAAAAAATAAGCAGAAACTCGACGTTTCGAGCGAAGGCCCTTCGTCAAGAGTTAGTAGACGAAGGGCCTTCGCTCGAAACGTCGAGTTTCTGCTTATTTTTTAAGGTAGTAATATAACCACTCAGCACGGCAGATACAAAAACGCATACATACATGAATTTAATCAAGGTTGGCAACTATTTTGGTAATATTGTTCATTTATATAGCCGAAAAAAAATCGAAAGCATTATACGCACGTTAGGACAAGATTTGTTTCCGACTTATACGGATATTGATAAAATAGTAATTTGTTTTGAAGTTTCTTTATAAACAATTAAGAACATTTTAGAGAGAATTGTAAATTCATGAATAATTAATAAGGCTACAATTAAGAAATTACAATGCGGTATTTAGGTCACATATGCAATGGATGTCATGTTAAAGGGATCTTTATATGAAAGTTATGAATACTGTAATTCAGAAGCAGGACGATTTATTAGAATCAAAACGTATGTACCACTAGATTTACGTTGTAAATACATGCTATTATAAAATAACATGTATATAACGCGTATTCTGATTGGTCGAAAGCCGTGTTTGGATCAGGCCATCCAAACACGGAAGACTACCGTGTTGTTGTTATTTTATAAAACAATTACTTTATGGTTTCCGTGTTTGGATGGACTGATCCAAACACTTGGGAATGTTGCCCGAGTTAAGAAAAGCGGGCAAAATCACTCGCCTTCGGCTCGTGATTTCGCTCGCTTTTCTTAACTCTCGCAACATTCCCGCGTGTTTGGATCAGGCCATCCAAACACGGAAACCATAAAGTAATTGTATAATGAAGCGTGAGATTGTCCCCATAGCATGGGATACTAATAAAGTAAACAAATAAATTAATTTTACAAGTTCGACAAAATATTCACAACTGATCGTTATGGGCATTTAACAATGGCTCACGCTGTGCGCTCGCCACTGTAGTCTGTAAATGCCCATAAAGATCGGCCACTCATATTTTAACTATAACATAAAATTTTAATTACTATAGGTTGTTGGATTCCGTGTTGTATAATATTTTCAAGTTAACCTATTTCTACAACCGCGAGATACAGTCAACTCGTCAAAAAACTCGTGAAAGAATGGATTCTATCGAAATTCATATTGCAGATATTGAAAAGAAAGAGAAAATAGTAAGGGAAGAAATGAAAGCAAAGTTGAAAGATCAAACCAAGTTCTTCTTTTCCAAGCTGAATGAATATATCCATTCGCCAGAATTCAAAACGAAGTTTTGCACATGGACCGGCTGTCTACTTCCAATGATTAAGAATGGATGGGTAGGAACGAAAGAGCACATCATGAAATCAATTGGATACAGATTTAAAGAATTGCTTATTGAATGGGAAAGCAAAAATCGAATTTGCGCAGAAATTCACAAGCAACTTGTAGAAGAATTTCTAAAAAGGTTTGACTTTAATATATAAAAACGTTGATGTATATTGGCGTTGATATAATTAACTAAATAACATATCGTAAAATTGAAGGTTCTTTTCTTTATTAATGTCATTAACATAGGTTGAATCTTTTGGAAGACGAGCTTGAAGGTGTTATGATAACGACGCATGGTGCAGAAAAAGAAATTAATTATTCGAATACCAATAGTCCGTTGCCCATGCCAGCGAAAATTCTCGTTGGAGCAGCAATGCCTGTCTGGGTTCCTGTTGGTGTAGTGGGCCTAATAATTGGCATGCCTGTTTTAGGAGTGATGGCCGTGACCAATAAAGTTTCTAAAATAATGAAGCTCGGTAACTATCGAAAAGATCCGTGTGCTTACTTGGAAAAACAGTCCGAAAAGTTCCTTGCCTCTCTAAAGGAGGACGATGTTTATGGATATGCTGAATGGCAGATGGAGAAAACCACAGAAGTATTGAAGAGTTACACAAATTCAATTCCCACACTGATTGCGACTAAACGAAACATGGTGGCGAAGTTGCGAAGTGAAAGACGAAACCAAAACGAAGTAATACAACAGTATACTCCAATTCAGCAGAAAAGTTTGGGGGTACGAAAAAATATGATACCCTTAGGAATCAAGCTTTGTCCAACAACAGTGGATGCACGTGATCTTGATTGGAAACAAGACAATGAGTCATTCATTGGAGAAGGAGAGTTTTCCCGCGTGTACCGTGGAAAGCTGAAGAATGGTGGAAGAATCAAAACGCTGGATCCGAATCATTCTTTAGATGTTGTGGTGAAAGTATTCAAGCAGCCGTTCGATTATCGAAATTTAAGATTATACCTCAATGAGGAAATGGAGATCAGGTAAGCATTGTAAATCAAAGACTTGCTTGCAATATTGTCAAACAAACACTGAAAAAAAAAGTGAAATCCATACTACGAAATTTGCATTTGCACCACTAAATCCATAGTATATCCATCCTATTTCCATACTATGAAAATATACAATTATCATGGATAACCAAAATCCATTCTATTTCCAATAAAGGTCCATACATGTTTGTGTGATGTTACTCTGAGTGTATATCCACACCGGGCAGGCTTGAAAAATATGCCTGGCCACGGCGGGATTCGAACCTACGACCTTTGGAATACTAGCCCAATGCTCTTCCAACTGAGCTACGTGGGCTAGTACTCCAAAGGTTGTAGGTTCGAATCCCGCCGTGGCCAGGCATATTTTTCAAGCCTGCCCGGTGTGGATATACACTCAGAGTAACATCACACAAACATCTTATTCACCTGAGTACATTACACCAACACAGCAGATTTCAAGGTCCATACAATTTCCATTCTTTGACCTTCTATGGATTTTCAAAAGTCGATCATACAGCATATTTCCTCTATTTAGCCGCCAGCCGCCCTCCCACAAGACCCAGTCGCGAGGTGTTAATAAAAAATAAGCATTCACTCTGCATTTGTCCTCATTTTCAATTACTCAAATACCAGAAATATTCATTTCACAAAATTAAACCATTTCTTTATCAATTATATCTATCAATTATATCTAACTTCCAAGATACGACTGCGTACAGGTTTTTTTAATTTTTATGGCTTATCGAATATCGGGTGATGCAAGTCATTGGATAGAAAAACCCTGCAACTGACCTGAGCACTATAATAATACTATTACACTTATTTTTTTTTATTTTTTACTGTAGGCATTTGGATCACGAGAATGTTGTTAAGTTTTTCGGGGCAATGAAAGTGAATATTTCCTACCAGTCCAAAGAGCACAAATTTGTGTTTGTGAGGACATTCTGCCAGGCAAATCTGAGGAGTATTATTTTCAGCGATAAAAGCGTAACACCTGCACAAGCTTCCAACACTGATCAAGCAATTTACGCGTTTCTAAAATGGGCGATAGAGATTGCGGATGGGTTAAACTACATCCATGAGCGGGGCCTCATTCACAGGCATCTCAAGCTGGAAAATATTTTGGTTTGTATCAACTTAACCTCTTCCCTAGACTTTTATTCCTCAGTCAGAGAGCCATTGTCAATATCCACGGTCTCTAAACAAGAACAAGATTGCCTCATATGTACAAATACATTATCTTATTCGCTTTTCAAGTCTTGTATTTAACATTTCAAAACGAATGGCTTTAATTTCCAATATTAATTGAAATGAAGAAACCCAAAATTTAAACGCTTTGCAGAGGGATATGGTTTAGAAGGACACCCATTTTAGAATCCTGGCTAAAACAGGGTTCGTAGTCTCCAAGACAAAAAATATTCAAAGACTTTCAATAATAATAATAATAATAATGACCTTTATTTGTACCCTTTACAACAACAAAAAATATAAACATTTTACACAATTAATGATTAAATAAAATGGGTACTAGCTACTTAAAATAACCATAAGGCTAGAGACCAAGCAGCTAATAAATATTGATATGAATATAAATTATCAGTAGGTCGTAACACATATATAGTAGAAAAACAAACACACAGACGAATACACACACACACCTAGACAAGGCTATTTATATAAATCTTACATAGGTAGAATTTAATATACAATTATTAGAAATTATATAAGATTAATATAGAAATATAATAGTTGAAAACTTAAAAATATTATGGACAATAAAGACTCAAAAAGTCAATATTTGAGGAAAAATATTTCCAGAATTTTCTTTTTAAACTGATAAGCAGACAGCAATTTTATATTATTGTCAATTGAGTTCCATATCTTAGCTCCTTGCAATCTAATATTAAATACTCCTTAATTTGTCCTTTATACTGTGTCAAGAAAGTAATATCTCTTAGAGGCTAGTCGTGTGTTATAGTTATGAATCTGATTCAAAGATTTTTTCTGCCTAATTTCAAAGACTTTTCAAAGACCTTTGAGAGCAATCAGCTGTCGATAAATTGCGAGTGTAAGCACCATTTTAACTAGCCTGTGTTCCAGTCCACTACACCGTTGTAGTACACACAACGGTGTAGTGGACTGGAACACAGGCTACATTTTAACCCAATAATTAGTCCCGTCAAATCACATCCTAAAATGCACCTTTTCGTCGATATTTGTGAACATCTCCCTTCAATCAATCTCTTTTATTAGCTAGGAAATCGTATAATCAAATACTCACTAAAGAATTTAAAGACTTTTAAAGACTTTCTTCGCTTTTTCACACAATTCAAAGACTTTTCAAAGACCTTAAAGACCTGGGGCCGGTTGTATAAAAAAGTGATTAAAGTTAATTATAATTAAGTGCAAACGTCATCCAATATATTTGAGAGTTAATCACTATTTAACTACAAAATAGTGATTAAAAAAAGTGATTTTAAAGAGTTTTATACAACCGGCCCCTGAATTCAAATTTAAAGACTTTCAAGGATTTCAAAGACTGCTACGAACCCTGTAAAAGCCTGATAAGGGCCCGTTTAAGGTGCTCTCTCTCTCTGTTAGTAACCCACTCAGATGTTTAGACCGAGTTCTTTCTCAATATTTTTTTGTTAAACATACATTGTGTCGTGCTTCGACGAAATGGAAATACGATTTTACGTGTAAACAAATAAACGTCCTTCCCTCTCCTTCAAAAGGTAAAACTAAAGTTTTTTCGTTAAAACGAATGTTCTCTCCTAGACGAATAAAGATGGTAGAGCAATGATAACAGATATTGGGATTCTCGGTCAATTTAAGAAAACAGAGAAAAGCATTATTTATCTTGCGCCTGAAGTGCTTGCAAACCTGGAGACACGCAGAAAGGAAGCAGATATTTACAGTTACGGCATTACGTTGTGGGAGATGTGGAATGGCATCCAGGCGTTTACAGAACTCATGCCACTCAACAAAACCAGATTTGAAGAAAAGATTGCCGACGGGTATCGTCCCATCAAGTCTGACACGACGATCGTTTTACCAGGAATTCAAAACGTCATGGAGGGCTGCTGGCAGTCACATGCAAATGAAAGATATTCAGCCAAAGAGTGCTACGACGCTTTTCAAGACATTTTGGAAAGCCTTGATGTAACAGAAGACACATCTGACGACTCTTCTATATAGACTAGATCTACATTAGATCAATATAGAGGAAGGTGAAAATATAAACACTAATGAGACTGCAATTCATTGAACCAAACATTAATTAAGAACGCAATTAGTTAGGGCCAAATTAAGGCCTACAGTATATAACTAACATATAAGACGTATAATTAAACACACCAAATATAATGCATATGTAGAATTAAGGAACCATGAGACAGCCTGGTTTGGGGACGGTTCAATATTGATTATTGAAATAAATTCGATGTTACCACATTTCAGAATTCCATGGTAAAAATGAAAAAAGCACATTGACTCGTTTATCGTATAGTTAAAGTGCATGACATGAATTTTTTTATTTTCTTAAATGAAAGAACTCTTTAAGCTGTAGTGTAACTTATTTTTCAGTTTCTTGTTTTTATGGTTGTTTCTGAGATATTTCAATTTGTTTGATATGTAAATGAGTGTGAATATGTCCGCTAATTTATGACGTCATGTTGGTTGCAAGCTCTTCAAAATGGTTGAATATCACAGCTATCATCCAAGATAATATATCTAACTTCACTCACTGGCAAATGTGATGAAATACTGGAGAAAAACGTGAACTTATATCTACAGTTTTTAGAGTTAATACATTTACAACCAGTGTAAGTTGAGCTTGCAACCAACGTGACGTCATAAATTAGCGGACATATTCACACTCATTTACATATCAAACAAATTGAAATATCTCGGGAACAAACCATAAAAAAAAAACTAAAAAATAAGTTACACTACAGCTTAAAGAGTTCTTTCATTTAAGAAAATAAAAAAATTCATGTCATATGCACTTTAAGCCGTAAGCTGTAGAATAAAGTATCCGTGAGGGAAAATCTCCTCACTTAGTGTATTCTGGCTTTTATTTTTAAAAATCCACCCCTGACCATGGTCGATCTCAGGCCCCAGTATATAGAAAGATCTTTCTCAGTAGAATAGACAATTCCCATTATAGACTATAAGCTAGGCGGGGAGATGCAAATAAATCACCACAGCTAGAAAGAGCATACTAAAGTGAGTAAAATTGCAAAGTTTGGTTGCGAAATGTTGTAAAATGCGGAAAATATAGCCTTGCAAAGTTTGTATACTTTTGTATTGCGTGCGGAAATTGCTACCATTTTCGGCCCAAATATGTTTCTTTCTTTCCAGTTTAAAAGGCATCAACTTTCCAGTTTAAAAGGCATCAAATATCCGTTAAATGGGTCCTTTCTTCAAAAATGCTTCCAAAATGGGTTGCCTCTTTCCAGATTAAACAAACCACTGTAAACAATTATTTGTAGAACTTAAAATAACTTTTAAAAAAAGTTAAAATATACGGTAGTTTGTAAAGTATACAACAAATGTTTTACATTGTAGGTCCATTGCCGCTCCAGTAGTTGGTTTGTAGGTTGAAACCAAAGTTCTAGACATACATGTAGGTTGGTTAACCCCTTTTCCCACCAACTTAAGGATGAGTAAAAAGTAAATGTCTATATAGTGTTGATACAAACATGCACTCGTTACTGTATGTGAAGGAGCAATTAGTTCCTTTTTTCTGACGCTAATTTTCGCGCTGTTCATTTTCATCGCCAGTACTCAGTAAGAAGGTGATGTTTCATCATCTTTAATGCGGACATCAAGTAAATGTAGAAATGTATCAACTTTGTCCAATGCCTTTTTAGACAAAAATAAAGCACTTTAGTTGAATTTATAGGATATGGGGAAAATCAGCAAAGCTTAAAGAATGAATTCCGATTTATATTCTTCATGATTCTTTTTCAGATTTCAGTCATAGTTTTTGTGAAGATTGATTGGGTCAAGTTAATCAAAGAAATGTGTTACGCTTTTGTTTATATTATAAGCACATTTCAGAAGGGTATACTGGTCAAAGTTTATGTTTCCTTCTTTCAAAGTTTCCAGTCATCAAATAATCCTATTTGCAGAACCCGATGATGGACACAATTGGTTTCATATTCTATTGAAAGATTTAGAATTTACTCCAATGTGACTTTTCAAGATGCCAATACCATCATTGTATTCAATGCTGGTTCTCAACATAAACCAGGTTGCTATCATCCACAAATGATGCAACTTGTACATGGTGGCATACCCAAAGTGATCACAACTTGACAGCACAAATGCTTTGGTACTATGTCACCTGAGATAATAATCTATAGCTGTTGAGAATGCTGCAAACCCAGCACAACCTAACAATGCTGCTTTTCCACCAGCTGCAAAAAATGTTTAAAGAGAATTATTTCATTACTAACAAATAAAATCAAATCTAACTTGCATGCAGAGCATATAATACAAAATTACAAAAAACAATGGTTTTATATAGAGCTGGTTGCACTTAATTATTTCATGTTTTTCCCCTAAATAGTATACAGCTTCCTTGTGCAAATATGGATATAAAAATAAATAGAATAAGCATACCATAGTAGTGCACACAACATTCAGTGAATTACATGAACAGGAAAATATGGTAAATATTAAACATGTACTACCATTTGGGAAATTTATAATACCATGAATAGAGTTTAACATAAATGGTTTCAATAAAGTAAATCATTAAAAACCATTCAAAAACACATTTGAGTGTATCCTGATCTCTTCCAAAACTTTTTTATTCATTGGTTTACGGATCCGCTGACCGTAAATAGTCAGTAAGCAAAAATTAAAAAAAATTTGGATGTCAACAATTTTCCCTTTTTTAAAGGTGATCTACAGTCCGCATGTAAACAAAGCCTTTGTTTACATTTTTGTGCCCAAAATATTGAGCTTTATTCGACAACTATTTATATTTTCAAGCTTCTAGAGTATAATAAATGATCAAGAAACAACAATTAGGATTTTCAAGAACTCAAAACATAGTTAAACTGTTTGTATCATAAAAAGTGGGCTCATTTGTGCACATGCGCAGATCGGACTGTAGATCACCTTTAAAGTTAATTTTAATTTGGGGTTCTGACATGAAGTACATGCTAGCTAAGTACTGCTGGCTCATGTTATTGTGACAATCAACTTTATGTTATCATTGTGACAATAAAAAATTTAATAGAGATTATTAAATTTGGTTCTCATTTATACTCAGTGTGTTTTTTTCACATTTTTTTTCCGACCTACTGACCTGTTTTTTTTTTAAAATCAAATCCGTAAACCCATAAATAAAAAATCTCGCCTTATAGTAGTTTGGAAAGCAAATTGGAGTAATTAATCATGCACAAACCTCTTAAACCAATAGCTCCTCCTGTTATACAGCCTGATAATGTTCCATTTTTCCAATCACTCTTGCCACGATACTGTAAACAGAGGATGAAAGATAAAACTTTTAACTACATCTAATGATTATATATTACATTAACCCATTAAGCTGCGGAGCTTCCCCATTAACAAATAAAATTGTCTGGCATTAGACAAGTGAAAAAATAAGTAGGGCACACTGCGGCTCATGGGTTAACTACATTGTCATAATTTTTGGTTAACCCATTAAGCTGCGGAGCTTCCCCATTGACAAGTAAAATCGTCTGGCGTTAGACAAAAAAAAGTAAAAAATAGGTAAAAAAATAAGTAGGGCGCACTGCGGCTCAATTAAAATAAAAAATATTAAGAATTTTTTTTTTTTAAATTGCTTATTTAAGTGTACTACAGTAGAATTTTCTGAGTACACCACCAGTGAATTAACTTACTGACTCTACAACACATTCGGTCCCAGAAAACATTGCACCCACAACACCAAAGTTCTTGCCATACGATGAGGCACGCTGGCCCATTTCACGGAATACAGCACGTGCTGACGTATCGACTTGTCCACTGACACTGGTTGGCATTGACGTGTCTAGACCCGCTGTGAATATGCCAAAACCTGCCCCCAGCAGATAGCCTAAAAAAGTATATTAACAAATTGAGAAACAGTGCTCCTCCCAAGTAAAATTGTTTGGCATTCGACAGAGTATTCGATTGCAAGAATTTTTGCACAGGAAATTAATTTCCTCCAAAGCCAAAATTTTACAGTCTTCTGTGAATCTGGACCATACTGGCAGCCAAGATTAGCACTATTTTCCATCCAGCAAACTGACCTGATGTCATTTTCGGAAGAGGTGTTAAATGGCTATGTGACAAACCCAACCCCTATTCTAACCCAAACCGCAACCCTAACCGAATTAATAAAAAAATCCAAAAAGAAACGACTTTAGAAAATCGTGAGGGCGGTTCGCTGTATGGAAAATAGTGCTGACCGGCAGCCAAGGTCAATTTTTAATTAAAATGCATAAAATGTGTAAACAAGGTACATATCTAAGTATTTGGTGACTAGAGTAAAATTTCCAGTCTAGCAATATTTGAACATGCTTAGAATGAATAAAATACGCCGAATTATCTTACCAAGGACTCCGGCCAAAGTTGACTTAAAAACACAACTTTCCATTATATTTTCAATTTTTATTTGTTGTGGCGGTCGTGGCGACTGAGGAAGGCCAGGTGGAATATCTATCGGTCCTTTTTGTCGTCGAAGTTCTTCCAACATTGGAATAACGGATGTAAACGTCGTAGTTTGAGTAAGAATGTTCTCTTCATTGCTATCGTGTTGTTCTCTCGTGTCCGCCATATTGGAAAAGAACGCGCAAAGACTGGGATGAACTGTTGTCCTTTTGACCAATCACGATGAAGGATATTATGCTGCGTCAGCAAAATCCATTTTTTGTTGAATTTTCTCTTTTTGTACCTGGCTTTATCGCAAATTCAAAATTTTATAGGCAAGGGGGTGCAAATAAATCACCGCAGCTAGAAAGAACATACTAAAATAAGTAAAATTGCAAAGTTGGGTTGCGAAATGTTGTAAAATGCGGAAACTATAGACTTGCAAATTTCGCAAATTTTGTACATTTGGGCCGAAAACGGGATAGGGGGTTCAAATTAAGGCAATGTTCCAATTTGAGCGCTTTTCGACAATTAAGACCTTATTGGTTTAATTTTGGGACGAGAAGATACCGGTTTATATCATTACAGGATACACTTATTTTGCTTTTTTAACAACAAGAAATATTGAAATGTAAGAACTATTGAAAAATACAACCTACAATACATGACATATAATATCAACATAATTCATAAATCATGAATATACACAGTATTTATCTATACAAATAATCAGCTTGAATATTGCCAGCTATTTCCGATTCCCACTTGTCGCCGTTGTCCAACAGTTTTTCCTTGTTGTACAATAATTCTTCGTGGGTTTCCGTGGAAAATTCAAAGTTTGGTCCCTAAATATGTAAAAAAAAGCCAGAATAAAAAGCTGTACTTACTGTCAGTTATATATATTCTCTTCTTGGCAGAAAAATCCAAAAATAAAAATATCCTACATATACGTAGATTTCAGAGAACATATGGTGCCGCACAGAGTTATAAATACCAATCTTGGTACATCACAAAAACGCTTTTGTAAACAATAAGTAAATTATATGGCATTCCAGTCCAGGGTTCTGCCCACGGTGGGCGGCAGGGCCCAGCACTTAATAGTACCGCCCAGCACCAAACCAAAACGGACTCTTCCGCCCAGCACAAAAACACGCCAGATATATTTGTAAACAGGAAAATTATCGTCGCCATTTTGAAATTTCTAAATAAAATTTACGTTTCCGAGTAAATTATCGCACCTGTGATAAATTTTATGGCATCTACCATTGTAATAATTAGAAATTTCAAAATGGCGACGATAATTTTCATGTTTACAAATATTTCATGTATAATAATACCCAGCACTCTCATTGTCCTGGGCAGAATCCTGCAGTCTATAAGATGTTTCAACAGGTCGGTCAGAAACGTGAAATCATGGAACAAACAAAGTATTTTCTAGCCTAGTGTGAATAAAGCTATAACCAAACGTCTAATACACACCTCTACAATAGCATCAACAGGGCAAGCTTCTTGACAAAATCCACAATAAATACATTTTGTCATATCAATATCATATCTGGTTGTTCGTCGACTGCCATCAGCCCGGGGCTCTGCTTCGATTGTTATTGCCTGAAAATATACGCACACATCATTTCGTAAGCCATTGTCGTCTGTATGTAGAAGATGCGCGTCGTCCAGAAGTCGCAACAAGGCAAAAATAACACATCGTATTCGTAGCCTGTACGTGTTTGCAACTATGAATTCTAAGGAAAAAAAAAATGTGGGTTTCCGGTTTCCCGACCCTACCTAGCTTTTGGACGTCGAGATCCCGACCCTAAACTTTTTTATTGGATCATGCTTGTAAGTGTTTCCACTTAGAGGAAAAGTTTGTGGAAAATTGAAATTTGAGGCAATATTAGGGAAATTTATCTTTGGATGTGGAAGCACTGACTAAACAAAATGGCATCCGCTTATTCGGAAAATTAAAAAAAAAGTTTAAAAAAAAGAAGTTAAAACCGACCTACCCTACCTAAGTTTTTATAAGAAGAAACCGGAAACCCACATATTTTTTTTTTTGGCCTAACGTAAACATACCTGCGCAGGGCAAACAGCCTCACAGAGTTTACACGCGATACATCTTTCCTCTCCCGAGGGATATCGACGTAGGGCATGCTCACCACGAAACCGAGGGCTGAGCGGACCCTTCTCGAATGGATAGTTGATCGTTGCTGGTTCTCGAAACATCATACTTAATGTCATTGCAAGACCTGTGGCAAAAATTAAATGGAATTTTACTGTACCTCAGTGTCATAGTCGCAAGAGGAAACGCCTTTCACCTCCGAGTTCGTGTATGGATTCAATGGACCATTTGCATTATAGACTAAATTTTGATCTAGACAAAAATTTCATCACAGCTTGAAAGAGCATCACAAAATTAGTGATATTCCAAAGTTTCGTTGCGAAATGTTGTAAAATGCGGATAATATAGCCTTGCGAAATTTGCAATTTTCAGTCATTTTGTATTACAAACGGGAAATTGATGCCCCAACACCCGATTGGGCTCATGGGCTGTCAATTTCCCGTGCGTAATACAAAATGACTGAAAAACGGCAAACTTTGCAAGGCTATATTATCCGCATTTTACAACATTTCGCAACGAAACTTTGAAATATTACTAATTTGGTGATGCTCTTTCAAGCTGTGATGAAATTTTTGTCTAGATCAAAATTTAGTCTATAATGCAAATGGTCCATTCGATTGTTCCAACAAGTCTGATATCGTCTGCACGTTACAAGCTAATGTTAACAAGTTGATGACAAGAAGCTCGTGACAAATTGTGGCGAACAGCTTGTATTAAGGTCCAGACACACCGGACGCGATTCGACAACGCGACGCGATTTTTCGATTTTCATTGAACGATAACTTTGATCTTAATTTTAAAATTTTTCCAAATATTTAGAAGCGCTATAACATTTTGAGTTATTTGGTCTACATACCTTTCAAAATTTGCTCTCATTGGCTGTTTTATTAACTTTCAAAAACTAAAAAATCTCGTCGCGTTGTCGATTCGCGTCCGGTGTGTCTTGTGGACCTTTAGTCTTGTTGGAACAACTTGTTGGAACAACTTGTAGCAGACAACTTGTTCCAGACTTGTCACAACAACTGAGAACAAGAAGTGCGAACATATCCTGATATGAATGATATCAGCTCGACATCAACATTGTAACAACTTGTTCGCAGATCTGTGGCAACTTGCGCGTTTTTACGTGTGTAAATACGGCATTGCCGGGATTCAATGTCGCCTGTCGGACGACATGCGAATTTAGAGTGGATCGATATACCGGATATATCCGGTATACCGGTATTTGTTTAGATACCGGTACGGCGATATTGACAATTTAAAAATACCGATATACCGACATTTCAGTATTTTGCTGCCTAATACCGAATTGAAACGCTATTTCAAGTCAAACTTGCTTACAATCACGTTTAGAAAGCAAAGTTAATACTCACAGATGGAAAATACTCACATTTTGGAAATATTTATCGGGCAGTATAAGAAGGTAACTACAGTATAAGAAGGTAATAACAGTATGTGCCACATTAATATTTTGTCAAAACTTGATTTTTCTCGACGTTCAGCAGTTCAGTTTAGCTTAAAAAAACACGTTAAAAATACCGGAATACCAGTATTTACCGGTATTCTGATGGCGGTATATCGGTATTCGGTATTTGCGATATCGATCCACTCTATGCGAATTTAGTGTCTGTTGATGTATCAGCCTCTCTGTGAGGAGAGGTTTGATTGTCATATGCAGTTACTACTATGTATTGTACAAGTTTAGAAAACCACATGTTTACACCTCATGAAGATATATACAAGCGAACGAAAATTGCAAATAAAAGTTATATAAATATATTATACTACTGGGGCCGGTTGTATAAAACTCTTAATCACTTTTTTAATCACTATTTTGTAGTTAAATAGTGATTAACTCTCAAATAGGAGCTTCTTATTGGATGACGTTTCCACTTAATTATAATTAACTTTAATCACTTTTTTATATAACCGGGCCCAGAATATCAAATGCATACCTCGGAACAATTCAGTGAAAAACAAAGTGCTGGCATTACGGTCAAAAGTTGCCTCATTGCTCATGTCAATATCACCTGCCTCACGAGTCACGTGTTCTTTAATAGATTACACAAAAATATTTATTATTCTTACACCACTGCACCAGTTCTCGTAATTGCTGGCGGCAAATGGCAAATGCTGCTGAAAATGAAATTTTCGACGGCATTTTTTCGCTAATGCTCAGTGGTGAAGTAATCTACACTAATTAACAACAAAAACATTAACAACAAGCGAACTTCCTTTCATTCAATACAATATTTCAGGTTCCAAATAACCCATTAGCTATTTAAACATACGTGATGCGTCTTCAAATTGTCATTTTGGGGACAAAATACTGTCAAACTGTTGCTGAATGGACAACTTGCATGTTAGACTAAATTTTCATCTAAGTAAAGAGAAGGGAATCAAACACCACAGCTAAAAAGAACATAATGAAGTTAGTAAAATTGCAAAATTTGGATGCAAAATGTTGTAAAGTTTGGAAAATATAGCCTTGCAAAGTTTGCAAATTTTGTATATGTTTGTATTACGTGCGGAAACTGTTAACAATTTCCGCACGTATAAATACAAACATATACAAAATATGCAAACTTCGCAAGGCTATATTTTCCGTAATTTACAACATTTCGTAACCAAATTTTGCAATTTTACTAATTTTAATAAGTTCGTTACAGGAATTTACTTTTTTTTTCCTAGATAAAAAAATAGTCTAACATGCAAGTTGTCTATTGCAAAGGCTGCTACACTCAGAGGAAGATTCAAGTCTTCTGCTGTGAACCTTTCAAGCCTCCCCCCTAGATTTTACTATTTGTGTAACCTTGGACTCTGCACAATTTTACATGTCATGGGAAAGTGTTAGGTTTTGGGTTAACCATAATGTACAAGGTCTTTTCTAAATCCATTATTTAAAAGCTACAATGCACTTTAAGCCAGGTATCCTATGTTATTTTTACCCTTGCTTATGAAATATTCCTATAAGAATCCCTATAGGAATTGAGAGTCCTTTTAAGGAATTTCTAGTAGAATTTCCTATGGGGCCATTCACAAAGGATGTCCGGCCAAATGATGGATTTTCAGACCCCCCCTCCCCCCCCTTGTCCAGCATTGTCCGAATTAGTGACCCCCCCCTCCCCCTGGACATCCGCCATGCCTCGCAAAAACTCACGCAACCTTGTATATATCAAGAGTAAAAAACTTTTTTACTTTTAGAACTTTTTTATAACTGTAAATGTGAACACAAAAACATATAAATTACTAATTAAAACAAAATCTAGTGTTAACCACATAGTCAAAATGCCAATTTCACAATGGGAAGGACTGCTCAAAATAGAGGGAAAAAGAAATTTGTTTTTGAATTTTTTAAAATCCGGACATCCGGATTGCTAAAACCCCCCCTCCCCCCTATGTCCGAGTTTGTCCTGATTTTCCAAACCCCCCTCCCCCCCTCGGCTCGGACATCCTTTGTGAATGGCCCCTATAAAAATTCATATCTTTAGGAATTCCTTTAGGAAATTGTATTTCCTAGTAAATTTCCTAGTAAATTTCCTAGTAAATTACCTAGTAAATTGCATTTCCTCAAGGAATTTCAATACCAGGAATTCCTGTAGGCTTTCTTATAGGAATTTTAGAAAAATGGAGATTACATGTACTGGACAATATCCTACCATTCAAAGAGTAAACTGTTAGACACTTATGCAATTTTGAATTTTCATACTCACTATAAGCAAATCGAACTGTTGTAATAGCTGGTGTCAATCTGTAGCACTGTAAGCCATCTCTGGCTCCAGAAAGCCCTGCAACATCATAAATAGTAACAACATGACAGTTTATAACAAACAATGTCATGTGATGAATGGTACCGTTTTTAACTGATTGGTACCTAATCTAGATAAACAAGATAAACTCACAAAATTTTGCAACAGGTCTACAGAAAGCCATGAAGTGTAGAAATGAAGGCAGAACATTTGGGAATATCTGCATAGCCAGGCAGGTAATTAAATTGAGTTCTCGTGTATGAAGCTTCTTCACAATACTCAGAGGAAATATACACAAATTTTCGGGTATTTTTTTGAAAATGCAGACAGAAATTCAGTTGAAATTTTTGAATGGCCGGGGAACGCATTGCTGAGAACGATTATGTAAAAGATTATGTGCTCAATTGTAAAACCACAATATGCATCATATTTTTTTGTCTGCCAGAAAAACAACCGTCACCAAATTATATATTTATATACAGTCCATATTGACCATCCAGAGGTCTGATTCTGCAAAACAAATCTGTAACTGCCTACTGTATTCCTACTGCATTGCAAACATTAACACGTTTGAAATGCGCTTAAAAGCAATTATTAAAAAGCAATAAAAATATGTCGAAATAAAAATAAATTTATAAATTTCTTACCAGAAAATTTTCGCAACAATGCGGCCATCTTGGAAATGGGGGTGAACTGTGGATAATAAAGTACGAGTGAGTGGTACTCATTGCAAAGATGATGTAAATAAAAACATGGCGAGCAACGCAACCGAAGAAAATGCCAGCGAGAACGAGAATAAAAGCGAGCCAACCCCGTCCTCGAGTCAAAACGAAAACAATGAACCCAATAATCCAAATTTTGAATGTAATATCTGTCTAGATACGGCGAAAGAAGCTGTAGTTAGCATGTGTGGCCACCTATTTTGGTAAGAAAAAAAATGCCTGTTATAAATTACCTTTTTAAATACAGCACAGCAATAGTTGTTTTATATTTATATTCAAAAGCTTTCGTACATTTTTTGGATTAAGTAATTTTTAAGCACAACGTTTATATATATAATATTAAGTACAAAACTAAAATTAATAAATACAATTTAACAAAAATAAAAAAAAATGCACATATAAAATTTAAAGTACATCCAGATGTTAATTATACATTCAAAAGGAGAAAATGTCAAACAGATGTGAGATACAATTTCCATATATAAAACAATGATTCTTGGCATGCAACTCTTAAATAAGAACAGATCAAAGGAGATATAATCCTAATATATGCATGAGAATATTTATTTGTGTTCACTTGTTGAAATATGAACCATGAACTGTACATAATTATGCCTTTTCTGTTTCAGTTGGCCTTGTCTTTCCAGGGTAAGTAATATTAATTGCTTTGTCTTATTAATTTGTTTGTCAACATACTGTGTCCTGAATGTGGGCCCTAGGTTCGATTCCAAAATTGATTTCCAAAATTTCCAAAATTATAATTTTGGATGGGGGAGTTCCCAATGTCTTTGCCAACTCGAGGCTATACAAGCTATTTAGTGGCTCTCTCCTCTGCAGAGGCGATTGGAATAGGATTACATGAAGTTTCGATTGGGGAGATTTTCGCTTACATGAAGAACTTCATGTAAGATTCATGTAAGCGTATTCCAATCGCATCTGCGGAGAAAAGAGATCTAGTGGTCAGTTTTCAGTGTAGTCAACAAGTAAAATCGTCTGGGGTTAGACAGAGTGGTATGTGAAATAAAGTAGGGTGCATTAAGGCACAATGCAACTTAATGGGTTAAAACATCTTCTTGTTGTCATGATACACATTCACATTCTTTTAGTGGTTGGAGACAAGACCAAACAGATCTGCATGCCCTGTATGCAAAGCAGGCATCAGCCGTGACAAGGTGATTCCCCTCTATGGCCGAGGAAGTGGTGACCAAACAGATCCCCGAGATAAAACCCCACCTAGACCACAAGGACAGAGATCTGAGCCAGAAAATAATGGAGTAAGATGAGTGGTTTTTGTTTCTTTTGTTCAACACCTTCCCTGAATGTGTTTACTTTTTTTGCCTGTTCCATCTTTTATGTTTCAATCACATACTGTACCAGAATTGTTACTTAACACAAATTATTTTTTTACTTTTTAGATGTTTCCTGGATTGGACATGGGTGGTGGTTGGCATGTATCATTTGGTATCGGAGCATTTCCTTTTATGTTCTTTGCTAATGTAAGTGTGAAATACCATATAGTGAAGATTACTTTTATATTTGTAGTTTACATTATACAGTGTAACATCTTGTTAATCCATTAAGTTGCATTACACCTCACTTTGTTATTTTACTATGGCTAATGCAGACGATTTTACTCATCAAGAAGGGAGCGCTGATGATGCCCATGCATCCTGTTAACCTGTAGCAAAGTGCCCTGATGCATTTACAATACTTTAATTATTATGGGTGCAATGTACCCAATTGCTCCCAACTTTATTAGTTTGCTCCCTAATGCCATGCAATTTTACTTGTCAAAGGTCTTGCACACTACAGTAATGGGTTAAAATCAATTTCTTATACTATTTAATTTCAGAATGTTGCTGGATTTGGGCAGGGTAAGTGTGATTTAATTGAATATTTTATTGTTTAAATGCAAATAGTAAACAAAATGTGAGCTTGGGCAGAAACGTCTTTTCAGATATATGCATTTTAAGACACACATTCTTTCTCAAGAATTATCCAAATATTACAGTATTACACATACATATAGACTTTCCAATCTCGTTCCCCAAGCCTGCGATCCTCGGGAAGGAACGCGAGGCTCTAGGATAATCCGTTGCCGGAAGCCTGGAATCCTGGCTAAGATTGAACTGCGCATTCCATATCAACGGTCAATCAGATTCCTCCCTGAAACGGATTATCCCAGAGCCTCACGTTCCTTCCCGAGGATCGCAGGCTCGGGAACGAGATTGTAGACTTTCCCACAGTCCTTTCCCGGTACATACTAAAACTCGCATTTGGTGCAAGTGACTGTGACTAACCTTTCTCTATGCTTTAGCCCCAGCCCCTGGATCACCGCAAGCAGCACAAGAACAATTTCTTTCCAAAGTATTTCTGTGGGTGGCATTGATTTTCATCTTTTGGCTTTTCATTGCCTGATTGGAGGTTCCTGCCAAACCTGATGGAATCCTAAACTCATTGGAGGTTTAAGAATGTAGATAGCCATTGAAAGAAACTTGTGTGTTTGCATGGTTACATAACTACAGTACGATTGTTTTGTGTATCATGGAAACACCATCGAAAATTCCTGTGGTAAACGCTATTTTAAACTTCCATTAAACGCTATTACGAAAGTCGCCGAACTGTGGAATCGCATAAAAAAATTTGTATATCGGCCATTCCCACAAACGTCTACAACCGCACCTACATAGTTTTGCATGTTTACACTTCTAATTTTGAACAGCCAATCAGGTTCTTGGTAACAATTACAATTAAATGTTGATTGGCTGTTTAAAATTAGAATTGTAAACATGCAAAAATATGTAGGTGGGAGTGGTCGATATACGAATTTTTGATGTGATTCCACAGTTTGGTGACTTTCGTAATATATAGTTTCATATTAATCTGACACTGCAATCGAGCAACGAAAAATTCGTTGGCTCGAGCGGGATTTGAACTCGCATCTTCGGGTATCTAGACCGCCGCTCTACCTATTGAGCTATCGAGTCAACGGGGATTGGTAGCGAGTCTTATCCAATTTAAGTGCACGAAATATTTTCGTGACGACTTAACGCTTGTCTTTGAGGACGCGCAGTGTTTCAATTCTATTTCAGAACCATCCTCAGAGATGAATGTTTTAGTTGAATTAATGAATTAGTTGAATGACATTCTGCAGAATAACACGATTCATTTTATTTAACTCAAAAATCATGTATAATAAATTATAATTGTAATATAACGCAGTGTAAAGCATAGTCTGAGAATATCGTAATTAAAATTTGTGTTTAAGAAACTTATCGTCCCTGCATTAGACAACTTGCATGTTAGACAAATTTTTCATCTAACCGATCTAGGCAAAAAAAAAGTAAATTCCCGTTAAGAACTTATTAAAATTAGTAAACTTGCAAAATTTGGTTGCGAAATGTTGTAAAGCTTGGAAAATATAGCCTTGCAAAGTTTGCATATTTTCAGTATATTTGTATTACGTGCGGAAATTGTTACCATTTTTGAGCCGAAAATGGTAACAATTTCCGCTCGTAATACAAATATATTGAAAATATGCAAACTTTGCAAGGCTATATTTTCCAAGCTTTACAACATTTCGCAGCCAAATTTTGCACTTTTACTAATTTCAGTATGTTCTTTTTACCTGTGGTGTTTGATTCCCTTTTCTATGCTTAGATTAAAATTTAGTCTAACATGCAAGTTGTCCATTGAGCTCAACTTGTACAATCAAAAACGTTTTGCTAAAACTATTCAGAGTTGCAAAATGAGGGTACCACCCATGACAGGGTGTCTAAAAATTAAGTGACCTTTAGAAATTCACCTTCTTGTTATAATTTGAGTATACCTATACCATAATACAAATACCTATAGGCTATACCATATTCTATCGAAGGGAAGATGGCTGTGAAACTCATTAGAATAACAATATATAGAGGATATTACACGGCGGTGCGAAGATGACTTTTATCTTCGAGTGGTGAAAACAATATTTTACGAACGAGCGCAGCGAGTGAGAAAATATTGTTTTTAACACGAGAAGATAAAAGTGATATCTTCAAGTCGCCGTGTAATGTTCTGTTTATTATATAGTCCCAAGCAAACAATTGTGAAATTTCACGCTCAAAAGCAAAATGTCAAATTGTCACATGATCAATATCTTCACTAGTGAAGATATGGAAAATATCTCACTGTGTATTTTTGAGTATCTCACTCTCTACTATATAATAAAATTTATTATCTATGTTAGTCAACGTTTATTCATAGATATGGTTCTTCACCGTCACGTGCGTATTGTATTTTTGCCCAACTAACCAATAGCAATGTTTTAGGAAAGTTACCTATCCATTACTCGAACAATAGGGAAATTGTTATTGGTGGATTTGGCAAAAATACAATACACGCATGACGGTGAAAGACCAGATTTATGAATACACGTTGACTAACATAGATGAGTTATGTTGTTATTCTATGAATAAGTTTCACAGCCATCTTCCCTTCGATTGGCTATGGTGTGATATAATTTATATATTTTACAATTTAAAAAAATGTGAAAACTTGAAATTTAAACCCGTAGCCGTAGGAAGGTTGAACACTCTGATTTCACAAGCAAGCATGCAAAATCTTGAAAATATTGCCAGCTTTTTTACGATCATTTCAAGTATAAATATGATTAATACTTGTACTTTTTAAACCATATTACATCATTTTTAACCTGAAAAGTAGACCTGAACCCAAAATAAACAATATCCAGTATCCGACCCCGGCTGGATATAATGAAATTATCTCGCTATCCAGTCGGATATGATACCCTTGCATCCTTAAAAATGTCCGACGTACGACAGTTATTTAAAGCTCTGACATTCGATCCACAATTTTTAGCTGCTTTTCAATGGTTGGCTGTCCAAAAGTCGCCTCTTTCAAGCGGCCGTCTAATTCTTAGACTTGCTCCAAGTCTCTCTTTCATTGTCATATCGATCCACTATAGTGTACATTACATGACGTAGCACGGAGAGGCGGAGCGAGAAAGAGAGACTTGTCAACTTCGGAAAATCTCGGTTCAAAACTGAACCGAAAATACAAGACTTGCTTAATTGTTTTCCTTCAATTTCTTTCTGTATTATTTACTATAATGGAACTCACGTTATTTACACTGTGCTAGATCAATGCATATAAACACTGACAGAATACAATTAAAGCAAGTCTTGCATTTTCGGTTCAGTTTTGAACCGAGATTTTCCGAAGTTGACAAGTCTCTCGCTCCGCCCCTCCGTACTACGTCATGTAATATACATTATAGTGGATCGATACTATATGACGATGAAAGAGAGACTTGGAGCACGTCTATCCAATTCTACGATGTAGATGCTCATCTATAAGCATAACACAGATGGACGACAGGATGGCAAAGACCGTGACCTTACCCTCTCTCCACTCAACTCCAGAGTGCACACGTATACTACTATCGAATTACTATACGTTTTACCCCACTACGTTTTTTCTGTCGATCTTGTCTCGCTTCTTTGAACCATAGATAGGCCGGGAGGATATTGAGAAACAAACACAACACTAGAAGACCCACATTTACCTAAAAAAACGATTGATATTAAAACGAGTATCCACCTTTGCGGATAAGTGGATGGATTTAGGTCGTGGCGAAGACTTTGTCGTTGGGGGCGACGTTTAAATTAAGTTTTTAAAATTTAGTGTTGTTTTTCATGGGTAGATTCGAGTAACAGGTGTTTCATTGGTACAATGGGATATGGGACTGAATCTACCAGGGGAGTTCGGGGGATTTTTTTACTTTTATGTTTCCCTGAGAAATTAATGGACACTGGAAAGCCCAGAAATGCAACCAAATTTGCATTTTTAGCTTGCGTTTATAATGCGGGACTTGCATGTTAGACTAATTTTTGATCTAGGCAAAAAAAGTAAATTCCCGTAAAGAACTTAATAAATATTAAAAATTAAAATTAGTAAAATTGCAAAATTTGGTTACGAAATGTTGTAAAATACGGAAAATATAGCCTTGCGAAGTTTGCATATTTTGTATATGTTTGTATTACGTGCGGAAATCGTTACGGCATTTTTGAAGCCGAAAATGGTAAAAATTTCCGCACGTAATACAAACATATACAAAATTTGCAAACTTTGCAAGGCTATACTTTCCAAGCTTTATATCATTTCACAACCAAATTTTGCTATTTTACTAATTTTCATTATGTTCTTTTTAACTGTGGTGTTGGATTCCCTTCTCTTTACTTAGATTAAATTTAATCAAACATACAAGTTGTCCATTTACCTACAAAATGATCTCAAATTACCTAGAACTTTTCGTACATGCAATAGACCTTTCCCCTTATAACCAAAATTTTGATCTAGGCAAGTCTAGACAAATATTTCATCACAGCTTGAAAGAGCATCACAAAATTAGTAATATTCCAAAGTTTCGTTGCGAAATGTTGTAAAATGAGGAAAATAGAGCCTTGCGAAGTTTGCAATTTTCAGTCATTTTTGCATTACAAACGGGAAATTGCAGCCCCAACACCCGAATCGGATGCCAATTTCCCGTTTGTAATACAAAATGACTGAAAAACGGCAAACTTCGCAAGGCTATGTTATCCGCATTTTACAAGATTTTGCAACAAAACTTTGGAATATTACTAATTTTATGATGCTCTTTCAAGCTGTGATGAAATTTTTGTCTAGATCGAAATTTTAGTTATAAGGGGAAAGGTCCATTACTCATGAACAAGTATTGGAGGAGAGAGGGGGTTAAACCTGCTGCACCACCCCGGGGGCTACGTCCTTGGATGGATTTCATGTTCTTGGACATGAAATATCGAGGTCTCTCAAAACTTACCCAAAATGGATCTTTTTCAAGAGTGTCCTCTGCAATTATAAATAATCCATACTGTGTAGCACCTATCACTGACGATATTATATGACCGACGCCAAATAATCGTCCAAAATGTACGAGTGGAAATCTACATCAATCAAAATGACAGAAAACTTTTTTTAGGAGAATAAATATTTATTGTTCTAAAAACATTTTAGAATTAGTAACTGTTAAATTTATTTAGATAGACATCAATCAACTCGCAGTATTCAAAATTGCATGTATAGTATCATGTTTGATAATATTTTGCAAGCTTTAATTGGCCCTTTGGATGCATCATGCGAGCAGGGGCGTAGCTAGAGGGTGTGTGTGGGTGTGTAATCCCCCCTCCCATTAATCACGGACTCGGCACAATTTCAGAAGCAGAAATAAATAAAATAAATAAAACCGTTTTCAATACTGAAATTATACTAAAACAATTAGTTGCCTCTGGCTCGGTGATTACAAGCCTATATACTTGTAATTTATCCCTCCTGTAAATCACCCCAACTTCGGCGACTAATTGTTAAATAGGCGGAGGGAATTAGTATCTAATTCCGGTCATGGGCTCATGATCAATTATTTAAAAATTGCACTTACTTGTGTAGAATAAATGCGGCATAAACGGAGTAAAGAAACGCTCGAAACACAACTTGAACAACAAATGAAGCATACTACAGTAAATGAAAATAGTGGGTCTTATGTTTTCATTTATTTTAGGATAACATTATTGCATTCCATTCACGATGCAGTGATCGAAATGTTCCGTTATGTGTTCCTTGTTTTGAAAATCCCCAGTGGCGCCGTGGGACCCATGTTTTTTTTTGGTTTTTTTTTGGGGGGGGCAAGGGCAGTACTTTTCCGACAAACCGGAAAATTGTTTCCGACAGGAACGTCGCGAATTTCGGTCAGTGTACCATTTTAGGGGTCAAATATTTTTTCCGGACATACCAAAATTTTTGTCACATCTAAAAATTTTTCCGGACATCACCAATTTTCTCCATTTATCCACAATTTTACGAATATACCAACGTCGGCAACTTTAACAATTTCCGAACAACGTTGACAATTTCCCAAAAATTTCCGACAACATTCACAATTTTCCGACGGGTCTCCACAATAGGGGGGGGGGGGGCCCCCCCGGCCACGGCGCCACTGAAAATCCCACTGTTGTCAATACCATTCAATAAAATATTATGAAAAGACTATAACTAATTATTTGTTAAACGACCATTTAAATTCTCTCACATTTAACAAGTTTTGTTCCCCCAAAATGGAGAAAACAATTATAAAGTTAAAACAAAATATTAGTACATTATTTGCCTACTGAGATTCAATGACACAAATCTCAAAAGAGTAAAAAAAAAACATGTTCATTGAAAGCTACGTAAGACTGAGATAATCTTCATAATCATTTAAAATGAAGGTGATACATGTCTGAAAGCCCTCCCCCTGTTAAAATTTTAGAACTACACAACCGACCCTGACTGTCATAGCTCTGATACCTGCACAGGAAGACTAGGCACAAGAACAAGAATATTCAAAACTAAACCGACGAATGATGTGAGAAGGAAACCAAATACGAAACCAATATCTGTTTTCTCATTTCGTTTTTTCTTCGGTTTCCAATCCATGACAAAACCAACGACAGGGGCAAAGAAAAAACCAGCAAACTGTATGATACCAAACCAATTGGTGTAGTGGCTTACTATATTGAAAGGTGAACATTCAGATCAATTAACTGTTTTTGTTTTGCTAATTGGTCTTGTAGCTAACGAATTTTAGGGATGCACCGGAACCGGTTTTTTAAGTTCCGGCCGGAACCGGATCCGACCGGAACTGGAAAAAAGTTCCGGCCGGAAGTTCCGGCCGGAACCGGAACTAATTTATTAAACCATATATAGTCATATGTTACTTTGTCCGCTGCCAGACAAGCAGACACTTCAAATCATCAAGTAGAGAGTTCGCAAATGTCAGAATAAAAGACTGACAAACGTTAAACGTCATAATGAAGTGTTAATAGTGTACATTTCCCTTGCGTAGTCCAACTTTCTTCCTACTGTGACCTTTTGTTAGACACAAAAACGTTTGATATTCTATCTCCCTGAAAACGACAGAGTTCCGGTTCCGGCCATGCTTTTTTTACTAGTTCCGGCCGGAACCGGAACTCTAAAAAATCGGGGTTCCGCCCGGAACTAACCGGCCGGAACCGAGTTCCGGTGCACCCCTACTAACGATAGAAACCAACAAAACAATTTTCATTTCATCTATACTTTCTTCATTAACTTTACAATTAATTATACGATTGAAAGTACAGACAACATGATTGATATTAATGATATAGTTCCATGAATATATCCTGGAAGGGGAGAGGGGAAGATCCCACCAAAAAATTAATACAAAGAATGAAGAAAGCAATTCATAGCGTATATGGAACTAACCACAAGTTATATAACACTTTTTGTTTGTGGAAAACACCACGTAAATTTATTACTGCAAAGCTTTCGATCCGTACGCCCGGATCTTCATCAGTGCTAATAATAATATGACTTGTTTAATTCACACGCTCTTTTATATACAAAAGTGTCGTGAGTAACCACAAGTTCTACTATATATACTACAGGGTACTGCCATGTTAGGTTATGGATAAATATCAAGAATTTGTTAGCATCTCACTGGAATGAATAATAGTTGAAGGGTTTTTAGATCGAAATTATCGAGTGGAAATTTCAAATGTATATACATTTATCAGACCTAACCAGAAACAGTTGCGAAAAATGAAAATATTGGTCCTGCGGCCATGCGATTCTTCCCCTCCCCCTCCCATCGATTGATTTCTCCCCCCTCCACAGATTGTTCCAAGGGGGAATGACCTTGTTAAACACCATGGCCTCCCCCTCCCTCGCATTTCCATTTAGTTTGCGAGTTCTAAGTCATGAGATCTAGAGTTGATCTTGTATATATAGGAAACGAGATCTTTAATCCACAAATCTATACTTACCTGTATCCATGTCATTGCCAGACATAAATTCCAAATACGAGTTTAAGCTACCAACATAAAACCACAGACGAAGGTTGGAAATGCTGAGGAACAACAATAGTAGTATATATTCTGCTGACAGCATCTGAGATATTAATCGGGGCGCTGAATCTGGAAAAGTAATTAAGTAAAGTAATGCAGACAGAGTGGCCTCAGACTTTCAGATAAACAAGCTAATCTTAAGCCCCGTACCGATGAGCACGTTTTGCTTGACAAGTTTACTTGACAGCTTTACTTTCTGGTGTGTACGGTCAACAAGGGAGTCGACGAAAAAAATTTCCTAACTGTTAAAATTCCTCGTTAATTTTACATAATTCTTGTATTTTCAACTACTATCCAGGTGATCTCAAAACTCGGAAAAGGCCTGGCACTAGTTGTAAAATAGAAATCCATTTCTGGTTTTTCTGGTTTAAAATTACTCAATATCTCATTAACGATATTAGATTTCTATCTCAAATTTGTCCCAGACACTTATTTCCCTGTGCAAGACACAGACACAAAGTTTCAAAGAGTTTCACAAAAGAATCAGGGCGTGACAAGTGATGAAGGGTACGAAACTGGATTTCTATTCTGTTGCTAGTCCCAGTCCTTTTGCTCACCGTCAGATCACCTGGATATCGCATATGTCTTCTTTTTAAATTTGCTATAGACTTCATTTTGACTGTGGCTTATTTTTGTTGTTTTTAGTCATGTGTATGCTATAGAACAATGAACAGTGCAACTATTCACCTCAAACTTCAGTGAATATAAGTGTTAATTATCCTTCATCGTTATCATCAACCATTCGCAAAACGTAAAAACACTACATACATGGATAGAAGGTGATCATTTTAAGTAAAAATTGAGATTTATTTTCTACCTTCAGTGTTGTCAACTTCGTCATCGTTATCTTTGATAGATTCAGATTGACAAAGTGGTGATAACTGTAAATCTAATTCTCGGCATAACGCGCCATCTTTCTGAGTTTTCACTTTTTCATTTGTTTCTGAAGCACCATTAACTTCCGTGGTTCCATTGCTTTGCGTTCCTTCAAACTTGACTAGAATTTCCTCTTCATCCTTCCGAAGATTTTAAAAACAACTGAAGCGTTAAATCAATGCAAAAAGTGCAAAATATCCACAAATCCGGATTAAAAAATTAACAGTGCCGGATAATGTCCAGGATATTTTTCACTTGGAAATGTTCTTATAACATCCAGGAGGAAATTTTTTGTCATCTTATATATTGAAATACCCTACAATTTGCTTGTTGATTCCAAATTCCAAATGTACATTTGAAATCAAATTGTCATGTGTAAAGATTGATGGTAGTTGTGCAGCACACTAGCTAGTATGCAGAAGTCTTACATTTGGTTTACACAGGATATGCTTTGTTTGCAATGACGTAATTTTGGGATTTCAGTTGACGAGCAGGTATAGAACAAAAACCAGCTATTTTAATGTATTAATCGAGTTTAAATATCACATA